AAAAGAAAAATAGAACATGATGATATATGAAAAATGAGCCCTATGGAATTTCTGGAACCATGAGTATGAAACTTTATCAAAGTACAACTGCAATTAAATACTCCAGTTATATTTAAGTATTTAACATTTGAAGATGAGTTGTTGAGCCTTCAGTAGTTCTAGATTGAATCTCATTTTAGCTGAATTTCAGCAAGGTTGAAAGGATGTCAGGATTGTGCTCTTGGTTATTACAAACTTTTTATTTTTTATTTTTTTATTTTTTATTTTTTTTTATTTTTTATTTTTATTCCAAACTTTTTAAATGGAAGCCTGTTGCTACAGTATGCAGAAGGGGTATGGTAAATTTATTTGTTTTAATAAATGAAAGCAAAAAATAGGAATCTTTTGCCTTTTCTACAATTAACTCTGGTAGAGAACTTTTATATAATGAAAATGTGAAGTATTAATTTTTGAATGTTATAAGTATATTTGAAATTAATGGTTGGTATCATTAAAGGTTAACATTTTTCTGTAAATTTTACGTCAGGTTTTCTGATTACTGTGATTTAGAGATAAATATTAGTGCCATCTTTACAACTGAATTTGTAGTTGTATTTATGTAGAAAAAATCAGTAGGATTACAAATTATAGTAGGTTATCTTGTTACCTACCACGGACGGCTCTGACCTTTTAAAGGAAGACTGGCTAAATTAGTCTTTGGTTCCTGTCTGGCTTTTTGGGTTGAGAACCTGTGCACTGGTCCATGCACTGTCAAGGACTTCTTTTGCCTGGAAACCTAAATGATCTGCCCTGTGCTTCTTTTCCTTGGGTCCCCTACTGTATCCTTCTTGTCTTTATTGGGGATTCTTCCCTCAACAGAAAGTGTCCCCTTATCCCTTCTATAATACTGTTTCTAAGATAAGTAAGTTCTAAAATGAGTTACTGAAAATGACAAGTATTCTTTTTCCCCCCCTATTATTTTTTTTTTAATTTAATTTTTTATTTTTTAAAACTTATATCCAAATTAGTTAGCATATAGTGAAACAATGATTTCAGGAGTAGATTCCTTAGTGCCCCTTACCCATTTAGCCCATCCTCCCTCCCACAACCCCTCCTGTAACCCTCAGTTTGTTCTCCATATATTTATGAGTCTCTTTTGTTTTGTCTCCCTCCCTGTTTTTATATTATTTTTGTTTCCCTTCCCTTATGTTCATCTGTTTTGTCTCTTGAAGTCCTCATATGAGTGAAGTCATATCATTTTTGTCTTTCTCTGACTAATTTCACTTAGCATAATACCCTCCAGTTCCATCCATGTAGTTGCAAATGGTAAGATTTCATTCTTTTTGATTGCCGAGTAATACTCCATTGTATATATATATACCACATCTTCTTTATCCATTCATCCATTGATGGACATTTGGGCTCTTTCCATACTTTGGCTATTGTTGATAGTGCTGCTATAAAAATGGGAGTGCATGTATCCCTTCGAAACAGCACACCTGTATCCCTTGGATAAATGCCTAGTAGTGCAATTGCTGGGTCATAGGGTAGTTCTATTTTTAGTTTTTTGAGGAACCTCCATACTGTTTTCCAGAGTGGCTGCACCAGCTTGCATTCCCAGACAAGTGTTCTTAGGTTAATAAAACTTTGGCCCTTTTCAGCACTTGTAATCAAATCTTTGTCTTAGAAGTTCTAGTGTCATATTGAGTTGCTTAACTATGACCTTAGAATCCCTTTTCCATTTTATCTTTTCCTTACATCAAATTTTCCTGCTGGGTTGTGGTGGAGGAAATGGGGGCAGAGGGGTAGAAAGAGAGTTATTCTGGTATTCTGGTAAGAAAACCCTTGGACAACCTATGAAGAGAATAGTATTTGCTAAAATAATCTGGGTAGAATTTATGTCTTGGTGTCTTTTTTTTTTTTTTTAATGTTTATTTTTATTTTTGAGACAGAGACAGAGCATGAATGGGGGAGGGGCAGAGAGAGAGGGAGACACAGAATCTCAAGCAGGCTCCAGGCTGTCAGCCCAGAGCCCGACGCAGGGCATGAACTCACAGACTGTGAGATCATGACCTGAGCCAAAGTCAGATGCCAACCGACTGAGCCACCCAGGTGCCCCTATGTCTTGGTGTTTTAATTTCTGTGTGTATGAATTGCTATATATAACTAAGATTAGATGAGAATGTGCTGATTCCGAAAATAATTGGCAGTGCTTTAGCCATTTAGTTATAAAATTTAAGATCTTGTCAGAGCACATAAAAGCACTTCATAGTTTTTTAGCTTTTATATGTCTAAGTACTTCATAATCAAGCAGTTCTTTTTATGATAGTTTTTAGAAAATACAGTCCCTTAAAAAGCCTATTACACCTTATTTTGTAAACTCATGTCATTAAGAATGTGTAGTGTTACATAGGTATTCAAATATGGCTTTTATTTACATTGTTTTTCATTAGTGAAGTAATGGCATGTTTGAATATTATTTATGTATTTTATTTTGCAGCTGAATCTGCTTAGGAGTTGGGCATGATTTATGAATATGTGGACATATGTGTAATGCACTGAATATCAGAGGTAGTTTTTTTACATCTATATTTTTATCCCATTTTAATTTTCTAAATATTTTAATTTTTTTAAGTATATATTTTTTAATGTTTACTTATTTGTGAGAGAAAGAGACAGAGTATGAGTGGGAGAGGGGCAGAGAGGGAGGGAGACACAGAATCTGAAGCAGGCTCCAGGCTCTGAGCTGTCAGTATAGAGCCTGATGCAGGGCTTGAACTCACGAGTGGTGAGATCATGACCTGAGCTGAAGTCAGATGCTTAACCAACTGAGCCACCCAGGCGCCCCTCCTGTTTTAATTTTCTTTGGTTATGTACCTAGAAGTGGGATTCTGCATCATTTGGTGTTTCTGTTTTTAATTTTTTGAGGAACCTCCATAGTGCTTTCCACAGTGGCTGCACTGATTTACATTTCTGCCAGCCGCATACAAGGGTTCTTTTCCCTCCACATCCTTGCCAACACTTGCTATTTCTTTTTTTTAAATTTTTTTTAAAATCCAAGTTAGTTAACATATAGTGTAATAATGGTTTCAGGAGTAGAATTTAGTGATTCATGATTTACAATAATACCCAGTGCTCATCCCAACAAGTGCTCTCTTTAATACCTATCACCTACCCAGTACCCTTCTAGCAACAGTCAGTTCTCTGTATTTAAGAGTCTCTTCTGGTTAGCTTCCTTCTCTGTTTTTATCTTATTTTTCCTTCCCTTACCCTATGTTCATCAGTTATGTTTCTTAAATTCCACATATGAATGAAATCATGTGCTATTTTTCTTTCTCTGACTTATTTCACTTAGCATAATACATTCTAGTTCCATCCATATTGTTGCAAATGACAATATTTCATTCATTTTTTTTTTTGACACCCAAATCTCTTTTATTGGTGGGGGGGCACTGGGGATGGGCCCCGGGCCTTCTCACTGCACCACTTGTTTGTTGGCGCTGCTTCCTGAGTCCTGTGGCTTCATTACATCGGGCAGCTCGGGTGGACTGGAGAAGGGCTCCATGCGCAGGGCCTTGAAAGCTTCATCTGCCCGGAAGGCCAGCCCCACGGTGGCTGGGGCCTGTGGCCCTGCCGTCTGACTGGTGAAGTCGCACTCTCCCAGTGTCTTGCCATCATCCAGAAGTTGGTCATCCTTGTACAGCTGCTGCTCACCGGGCGGCTGCTTGAGGATGCCCTCGACGGTGCGGTTCAGCTCAAACATGGTACTTGACTCCTTGGCGTCCGTGAAGATGGTGGTCTTGTGGCAAATGATCATGAGGAACACGTCCATCGCGGCGGCTGCCTGTCCCAGTATTTCATTCTTTTTGATCATCAAGAAATATTCCACTCTCTCTCTATATAACTCATCTTCTTTATCCATTCATCAGTCAATGGACATTTGGACTCTTTCCATGCTTTGGCTGTTGTTGATAGTGCTGCTATAAACATTGGGGTCTGTGTGCCCCTTTGAATCAGCATTTTTGTATCCTTTGGGTAAAGAGAGATTGAGATCTTAAGGGCTTTTTAAGTTCTGGTTGCTTACTTAGAAAGTTATCTTAAACTTGTGATGTTTGGCTGTTAATAACTACTGCTTTATTTTAGCCAGTGATGGGAATGTCTCCTCTTTTCTAGGCATGCCATTTTATTTCTGAGTAGTTCCAACTATGTGAAAATTGTGTCTTGCATCTTTCCCACTCTGCTAACTCAACCATTTATCATAATTTTGTTCTCTAGAAAAAGTCTCTCTTTTTTAAAAATACTCTGTTGTTGTTTGAAGACAGATGTCATGAGTCTCATTATGTCTTATGCTAAGCAAACCCAGTTTTTATTGAATTATTAGTAATGTTACAGCATTCTCCTATCCTTATCACCAAATGGACATATTTTAATCCTTGGCTTTCAAATGATTTTGACTACAGAATACATTTTTTTTTTAAATTGGGGTGGGGGGGCAGCAGAGGGAGAGAGCAGAGAATCTCAAGTAGGCTGCAGGCTCAATGTGGAGCCCTGTGCAAGGCTCGATCCCACGACCTGGGGATCATGACCTGAGCTGAAATCAAGAGTGAAACGCTCAACCAGTTGAGCCACCCAGGTGTCCCTACAGAATACGTTTTATATCCCAACTCAGTACGCTCATGAATTATATCTACATGTAGTATGTAGTTTTAATACACACATGTAACTGAAACAATTTCATAAGACAGTATATATTGACACTGATATTTTTTGTTATTTTCCTTTTTTTTTTTTTTTTTTTTTGTGAGAGAGAGCGCTTGCACATTAGCAGGGTATTGGCAGAGGGAAGGGGTGAGAGAATCTTAGGCAGGCTCCACACCCAGCACAGAACCTGACACGGGGCTTGATCTCACAACTACAAGATCGTGACCTGAGCTGAAATCAACAGTCAGATGTTTAACTGACTGAGCCACCCAGGTGCCCCTGTTCTTTCTCATTTTTCAAAAATGCTGGTTTTATTTCTCATGTAGATTATATTACTCCCTGATGAGTTTCAACCTGTAGTTTGGAAAACACTGTTCTAGTTTGTTCACATTGCAGAATTGAAATAAATATTTCCCAAAAGCTAATGTTAGGCTAATCGTTGGTAAAGTAGGTTTTACCTTTATCACCTCAAAGAAAATATTGTGATGGTGGTTATTAAGTAAAACTTAACAGGGTTACCAAGTTCTTCGTAATAAATGTAGTAAAACTAAAATATTTTCAACTTTAATTTTTATTTGTAGGTGGCGACAGACAAGGTTGCAGAAAAGCTGAGTTCTACTCTCTCATGGGTGAAGAACACAGTATCACATACAGTCAGTCAGATGGCCAGTCAGGTGGCAAGTCCATCTGCCTCATTACACACTACATCCTCATCTACCACACTATCCACGCCAGCCCTTTCACCATCTTCCCCTTCACAGTTGAGTCCAGACGACTTAGAACTCCTGGCTAAACTGGAGGAACAAAATAGGTGAGTGAGGTTGCTTGGCTTTTCTCTCTCTGCAGTTATATGAACTCAGCCATTCATTTATGTATATATGCCATAATCAAAATTTACTTTTTTTAGAATGTTTATTTTCTAGTCTTTGGCTCCTTGTTTGTCAAAATTACTTAACAAACGTATTCACGTCTTTTTTGGAGGAGTTGGTCTTAAAACTAAAGTTGTATTAAAATTTCCTCCTTGCTCAGATAGCTTTAGAGATGTTTTTTGTTAATATAGCAAATTCCCTAAATTGTTACTGAATTTTAGAATTTTGTTAAGGCAAATAAGACTACCATTTTTATTTTTTTAAAGTTTATTTTGAGAGAGAGAGAGAGAGAGAGAG